GCTTCACAGAGTGAATGGGTCAAATGCAGAGAAAAACAATTAATTTCCCCATGGGGATCAATAAAGTATCCATTATTATTATTACTGCCATCGAAGGGCTGTTCCATTTTGGAGATTTTGCATTGGAAATTCTTCTCTTTTATTTTCTCAGAAGGCTCCCAGACTTAACGACAGCTGGCGTCCTTGTAGATGCATTGCTGCTTTCTTTTGTTTCAGTCCATTATTACACTCTTAAATCCTACTTTTTCCTGCATCTTTCAGGATCTTACAAAGCTTCAAACGACGCTTTGCTATTAAATTAGTTGTTGACTTTTAAAGTCGACGTAATCGTGACTAGTTGACTAATCGTGGCAGCCCCAATAGAGGCACATGAAAAATTTAAAGACCAACTGAAATAAGGAAACTGACTGATTCCAAAAGCCAAAATTTCTAGCTTCCCAGTGGCCCACCTGGCAAGACTGTCCTATGTTGGTAAGAATTGTTATAAATGAGCCCAACGAATTGCAGTCATCGCTCCTTTGTTTGTGCTGCGCTCCTGCACCTGCAGGCGCACTTACAGTGAATATCAAATTTAATAACAGGAAGTTAACTAAACATGTAATTCTTTTCCTTCTTGGTTTTGGCCAATTGACAAAAGAACAGGTTATTTGCATGGCTGTGTTTTGTAAACACAGGGTGTTGTGAGTAGAAGAAACAGTCATGAATTTTGGCAAGTCCTAAGCCTAATCAGGGTCACCTCATCCAGCCATATCTGTATGCTTTATCAAAAAGGAAAGCTTTAAGCCTAATCTTAAAACTAGAGAGGGTTTCTGTCTTCTGAATCCATACTGGCAGCTGTTTCCACAGAAGAGGGACCTGAAAGGTGAAGGTTCTACCTCCCATTCTCCCAACCAATCAGGCAATGGATAATTAATCTAAAAAATACATAAATACTGTAGTGAGTGTCCTGTAAATTTTAAGTAAAGTGTTAAATGTTTTCTGCACTTTAACTTTTAAATGACAACATTTTGTTGTTTTGTTTGATTGTATATTGTCTGTATTTTCTCACTGTAGATGGTCTGTAGTTGATATCACATATTTGTGATTCATCACAAGAGTTTAAATCACTTGAGAAATGTACGATTCCAAAGTTAAATCGATCACAGAAGAAGAGTGTTTTTCATAGAGTTTGTAAATGAGCAGCCAAAATGGTTTTAAATTAGTCAGCAAAACAGCTTCTCCCCACAACATGCCTTTCATTGGTATATCTGAGCAACATGCTTATCATGTGGAACCTGCTAATGGTTAAGATTACCTTGTAATTTCTGAAACATGTGTTGTTGTTGTTTTTTTTTTTTTTTAATCTGTCACTTCAGATTTTCCACAACAAGACTGTAAGGACAAAAACCCGCTTGTACTGAAGCAGAAGACTGAAACTTTTCCTGCTTTTCCTGAAGAAAGTGACCACAGTGACCCAGAACCAAGCAATGAACAGCTACTTTCTCAAAACTTCATTTTCATAAGGTTTTTGGAAGCTCGGTTTCTGTTTTCACACATGGACAAGACAAACAGAGTTTGTCTTGCAGCATAAAATTTGTGCACCTTTATCACCTTTTTCTGACGTTATTGTTTTATAGTTTATGGGCTTTGTCTTGGCTGAAGTTTCTTCATTTCTTTCGTCATGGCATTGGCAGTGCTTGAGATATTTTTGGTGTCTTGATGTAAAAAGAACTATTTCTCAAAAACACAATTGGAATTGTCTGTATAAAAAAAATACATGTGTTCATGAGGTAGCCTTAATTAAAGCCAGTTGTTTATCTGAAGTTCACAGTTTGAAGGTGTTTAAAGCAGCAAACAGTTGCAATCACTTTTCGCTGACTTGCACACTGCTAGAAGTCCTGTTGTTGTTTTTGTTGTTTGTTTGTTTTTACATTTTCTTTACATTGGCTTGACATATTTGGGAAGTGCTTTGTATACAGAAAAGGAATATTTTCGGGAATGACAATGTTAAGCAGTTACTCATATTGTTTGTGACCCACATACTTAGGTTGTTTATTCTCTATGTTTATATCATAACTTGTACTGCTTTTATGTGAGCACCTGTTGATACCCAGCTGTTGTTTTGAGATATAATAATTTGGACTAATGTGTAACTTTAACAGTGTTCCATTTTGAATGGTTTGTGATATGTTGGTTGGTAGAAACTGAAACTGGATTTGAAGATGCACTTGGTAATTATTTTATATATATGTGAGTCACTTTGATGGTCCAAACTGTCCAAAAGTTGTAGAATAATTTGTGAAATTTATAGCTTACATTTAGCTGTGCAAATTGATTTAAAGGCATAAAAATATCTGTAGTATTAATTGCTTCTTACTATGAGGTTGGCATAACAGTCATTATTCCTGACCCTATGGGCTGACCTTACTATAAAAATGATGGATGAAAAGGTAATTGGAAGAAAGTCCAGAAAGTTATGCAAGACAAATGTTGAATATTATAGAGGAATGCAAAGTTGTGTAAATTCATAGACTGGTCAAAGTGACACATTAATGAACACATTTAATAGATAAATGTTTTTAAGAAAATGATTTTGACAAAATTGGGGAAATCAATCTAGTTTAAGATGGAATTAAATCAGTTTAAAGATAAAATATGGATAATTATATAATAAAGGAGGAGGAGCTCCTCTCCAATAAAGGAGCTCAGAAGTGCCTCGGGAGTCTTCATCTTTATTCATTTTTGTTGGCTTTTGGCCTGCATGTGCTTAAGGCGAACAGGCTAGAGGTCTTTCCTTTCTTTTAAGTTTCTGATTAAGTTGTATGTTCAATAAAACTGTTGGCATCTCCTGTAAATTTTGTGTTTTTGTTTAAATTGTGTTCCAAAAGCCTGAACCAACATCTTTCCGGCCTGAAGAAATTCTGCAAAGCCTTTAAAATTTGCAACCCCACAATCCTGCTGCTCTTTGAAAAACTAACAGTACTTCTAAACGAGATGTTAAACAGGGCTTCGTGTGATCTGCCTTTTGGTGAAGCAACTGGCCAGAAAGATTCAACACATTCAAGGGGCTTCATCATACTGACTTCCTTCTCTTCCTTCTCGGACTTTCCAGGTCCTCAACCGTACTCCATCAGAGGCTTCTGAAGTTGTTTTTCAGAACAAAAGTGGAGCACATAATAGCAAACACTGAACACACAACTCCCCTGTCTGCCAAGAGCATGTCTGAGAACTTCCCTTTATAGCACAATCAGTGACGTGAAGACACATTGTTCAAACAAATCTGCGATGGTATTTTCAGATTAAGTTAGCCAATTAGACATTACAGTGGACTTAATGCAGTCCACAATTCCTTAGGAGGTACTCAACATGAATTTAAACCAGCCTGAATTTAATTAAATAACACACCCCTCCCTCTCTGAGCTTCAGTAACACCAATTTGCATCAAAATCTTGATTAAATCAAAATTCAAGAATCGTTTTAACTGTCTGAGTTAGGTTCAGTCTTCACAGTCACTGGAAGCTCTAATCTTACCGACGTACAGGTTCCAGACCACAACTGAGGCAGCAAATCCAAAAGTGCTTTTCTCCACAGAACCAAACTAGGTCGGTCCTGAAAAGAAGTAACTAACAGGTGTTATACTAATTCATAATGTTTATTATTTTATTACACCATGCAGGCTGCACTTCATTTACCTCAGTGGCAATATAGTGAATTAGACATGTGTAATTAATCTCGTTTGACGTATAGATAGGTGGTCTTGTTATGTATTTAACCCATGTAGAAATTCTCTGCCCACTCACAATTTGAAAATTGTGAAAATTTGTTTATGCTTTATTTTTGTTTATTCCTTCTATTGTCTAATATAACTTTGACCCGTGTCCACTAGGGGTGGTGAGTGACCTGGATGGACCCAGATAGCACTTTAGCTCAGTCCTACCACTAGTTGATACTAACTTACTTATATTTTTTCTCAAGTGAATTTAGTAATTCACCTAGCAAAAGTCCCTGTCCTTGAGATCGTCACTGTCTCCTCTGGCAGAGCTTCGACACCATTCAGAGGGAGACTGGGAACATTGAGTCTAAATGGACCATGTTCAGCACCTTCATTGCTGAGGCTGCACCACTGAGCTGGGGTCCGTGTCGTGGTGGTAAACCCCTGTTGTGACTGTGGTTTTACATCTCCTATAAATACTACAAGATTTTTATTCTATTGTATATAGTATTTTATTTTATTCTAGTCTATTGTGTACAGTACCTTATTCTTATTCTTATCCTTTTCCAGTGTTTTCTAATTTTTGCTATGTAACTTTCTGCTGTAACAAAAGAAATTTCCCACATGTGGGACTCGTAAAGGTTATCTTATCTGATGTTATCTCTTATCTTATCACCCAGGACTGACCTGATGTATTAAATGCACTGAAAAAGTAAAAAAAAAAAAAAAACCAAAAAAACATGACCCTCACAGTGCTCACCAGCTGGCCCAGATGGGCGTAGGCACGATTGAGCAGTTATATCATGGCATCCTCAGCCTCGAGGTGGGGCTGGTAACAAACTGAAGGAGATCCTGATGTGGCCTAACTATAGGGCGGAGCTGGTTGAGGATGAGTCTTTCCAGGCTCTAAATGTATGTAGTTTATTTATATTAATGTATTTGTATATTGTTATTTCACTTCCACTTCATGGACCGTACCAGAGAAATCAGGAGACCCTCGTTTATTAAAAAGATTTTATATAATTATTTTTAGAGTGACTATAATCAATGAAGGGATTATTCTTTGTTCTGTAAAATGATTAATGCTGGATCAAACTAAAGGGTTTTCCAATAAATCAAACTTAAATCAAAGTATTTTCTTCTTTCTTTATTCCAGGATATCACTAATAATCTCATGGCAAAATTGCAGTTTTCTGCAAAGTACCAGACTTTATGTTGGACTGGACTGACCTGATGAGGGCAGTATTACGCCCTTGATACCTATAAAAGAGCAATAAAAGAAGAATAGCGGCAATGGTGCCATTGAGAGATCCCGAGTTAAGTTTGAAGACGTTGGTTTGGCGGTATCGGTTGTTGTTGCAATAATGTCTTCAGTTCAGCATCTGAGAGAGTTTATCAAGGAGAAATTAAATGCTGCTACAGAAGAAATCTTCTCAGAGTTTGAAAAAACGATCGTCCGGTATGAGGAGGAGATCCGTCAGCTAATACCGCTGGATATCAGACCCGGGATAAAGTCACACAATACAGGTGTGTAAATTTGTGGAGGCGTGGGGGGTTGCGGGATTGTGTGATTTACTTGGGCATGATCTAAATGCTTTGCATAAATGCATTGATCTAAACTAGTAATACACCCCAGTAAAGTGTATGCAGCTATATCTGTGCAGTGTTGAGAAGGTTACTCTTAAAATGTTTTTTACTACAGATTACAAATAAATGGCCCAAATGTAGTTTGAGTAACTTAAAATACATTTCAATGTGAATAATGTATTCTGAATACTTTGGTTTGGATTACTTGATATATTTTCCATTCTTTTTACAACTACATGAATGCACTATTGTCATGTGAATTATTGCTATTACTGAAGGCTACTAGCCACCTGTTACGCTCCTGTTTAGCCCCTAATCTCCTGAGTATGTTCAGCTGGTGCTAATTGGCCCCACCTAGTCTGGTGTTGATAAAAGCATACCTGAGGCAGGCTTTCAGGAAGCTCACTAGTCTTTGCCTTGGTAGCCATTTTAGCCAACCTGCTATGCCAATTTGAGATAAAACCTCTATCTCACTAACACTCTGGTATTCATCTCCTTTTTACTGTTGCGGCTTTTGAGCCGGTTTTCTGAGAGTCCATCCTACCTGACGAATCATCGTACCCATTGTTTCTGCGCATGCGCACAATACGAAATTAAGTTGCGAGCCGTCTTACCTTTGTGAAAATCAGCTAGAAAAATACTCTGACTTATAAAATTCAGTGCCAAACCATCCTGCCTTTGTGACTGTGACCTACAACCATACTTTAATGTGTAAAATGTAGTGGCAAACCATCCTGGGCTTATGAATATGAGCTACAAGTATACTCTGATGGGCAAAGTTAAGTGGCAAACCGTCATACCTACTTAAATTTGTGGTGAAATTACTCTGTGAAAGCAGAAATGTGCACAAACTACTTAAGGTAGGACGTTTTGCCAAAGTAGGATGGTTTGTCAGAACACCGTAATGTCGTATAGAAAAAATATTCCCACCAAGCACACTCACCAATATTTTGTTTTCGAACTCCATTGCAGTTATTTCACACATTAAACCTTTGATAGAAAATAATAAAACAAAAGTAAACTGCAATAAATTACAGGTAGCAGTAAAACTAATAACTCTTTTATGCTACGTCCACACCAACATGGGTATTTTTCTATGCATTTGGTCCTTTCGTCCGCACGTAAACAGCGTTTCGAATCACCAAAAAGGTTGGAGAAAACTCAGTTTTTGCATTTACCTGTGGTCGACGAATACGGAGTTCATCGCACAATGTCAGAGATGTGTGCCTTTCACATCACGCTGTGCGACATGTTATTGTTTACATGAGATTAATTTCTGCAATGGCAGATTCAAAATACTGTTAATCTTACTATCTGCAGTTTTTACACACTTGCATATACACAAGCAGCTATTGTCCCTCCATTTAGAAAGGTGGAGGTGTCATGGTGTAATTATTTTACGTGTAGTTTTTCTTTTCCCCTGTGTAATAATAGTCAACATTGCTATCAAAAAGTGGGTTCAAAAACCTAAACAACTGTGGGATACTGTTTGTGCATGATTTGGACAGCCTAGCGCATCCTCCCGATGCAGGGGAAACAAATTCTGTTGGGGGTACCTACTGTAGGAGCCATATGAGTTGTTCCTTTTTTGACTAAGTGGGTTGGTTTAAATGGACTCACTGTATTGGTGCACGGGTGTGGGGCGTGTCTCATGGGTGTGGTAGATGATAAATGTGGTTGCACTCACCTGTTCACAGCACCTGATGTTGATGAGCAGAAAGGTAGGGTGAGCATGAGGCAAAACTTTCTGTTGATCGCAGCTTGAATGATTTTGATGTATTTTAACTGGAACTGAATGTTTTTTGTATATTTGTGCACTAATTGATGCCATGAACCAGGTTGTAATTTGACATAGTAGTTAGTGCAGTTATTGGAGAGTTGCAGTTATTTGTTTGTGCAGTCTGTGCATTTGTTTAATAGTTAATCCCATGTGCTGATTTATATATTGGACAGTTGCATGTGGAATAAAAGGAGCAAATGGTACAGAAGTGTATTTTATGCGTTTATTGTTGCGCGTCATCTGTGTCCTCATGTTTAGCCTTCCGCGGCCATAGGTTGGAGGAGCCGCAATACCTACCTTGGCACATGTGCAGGTGAAGCCAAAGGCAAGCTATGCTTCATCATATTTTCTAGTCTTTGGCTTTGAAGGAAGTTGGTTTGGAAACATATTCGGCGATGCTTCAACCTCTGCTTTGTGTTTGTGTGGGAGCCCCGTCAAAAAAACCTGTCCGTTATTCTAGCAGTGTCCAAGCATTCTTCTTCGTTTGTTTTGTGGTGTCGCAAAATTTATTTATTTTTTTATCAAGATGAGGCAGAACCTGGTAGCTCCAAACAGAAGGACCAGCCAAAACAAATTGAGGATGTTATTCCTAAACCAGGGGCTCCCCCTGTAGGATGGACATTGTTTGGTTACGATAAATCTTACACAGATCAGAAAACTCTGCTATCCAAATTATGCCGCAAAGCGGTCTCCACCACCGACTCAAACACGACATTTCTGTTCGACCACCAATCATTTGAAAGGTTGTGGAGAGAGTTTATAGATGAGAAGCAAAAAAGAGCTGTCAGGTGCTCAAAATAAACCTTAGACTCAAGTGTAAGAACAAGCGGCCGTTACAACTTATATCTAAAAATATATGGTTTAATGCGTTGGTCAAAACACAAAGACTTCCAGTCTGCCGTCTTAAAGTACTTTAAGCTTTCATGATCATATTCAGATCATGCTACTCTTCGTTCGTTTGTTTATTCACATTGTGTGATGATCACTGGCACTCTCATCTAAAAATTAGACTCTGTACGGTTATCAACATCACCCAATGAACACATGACTATGAGTGAATGTTTCTGTGGCAGCATCTGCAAGAATGCAAGAGCCCTTGAAACCATAAGCTAAATTCTCAATAGGTGACCCCTTTTAATCCTTCTTGATCTTTATTATCATCACATTCGTCACTATTTTCTTGTGTCCCTTTGTTGAACACGAAGGTCTGGATGATCAGCAGGTCAGTGACCAGGAAAGGAGCTCCAGTCTGGACCAGCAGAACACAGAGCCTTCAAAGATTAAAGAGGTACAGGAGGAAATCTCCATCATTGGGGAAGGAGAGCAGCTTGAACTGAAGCAGGAAGCTGAAAACATTTATGTCTGGACCGGAGAACAGCTGGTTTTGTTGTTGAATCCTGGAGTAAAGCTGACCATAATAGGTATGTGTTTGTGTGGGAGCCCCGTCAAAAAAACCTGTCCGTTATTCTAGCAGTGTCCAAGCATTCTTTTTTTTCTTTTTTCTTTTCTTTTAACATTCCCCCTGCAATGGCTTTGCACCCCCCACTTTGGGAACCCCTGTAGTAGGCTAACGTTGTGCAATGTGACGAAATATATCTGATGATGAAATTAAAACATCTATCGTTTTGAATGACACACTATTGTTTGTTTTGTGGTGTCGCAAGACACATTTACAGCAATATTTTTTCATTGGTTTCTTCACTGGCTATCAATCAAGATGAGGCAGAACCTGGTAGCTCCAAACAGAAGGACCAGCCAAAACAAATTGAGGATGTTATTCCTAAACCAGGGGCTCCCCCTGTAGGATGGACATTGTTTGGTTATGATAAATCTTACACGGATTAGAAAACTCAAACGCAAATTATGCCGCAAAGCGGTCTCCACCACAGACTCGAACACGACATTTCTGTTTGACCACCAATCATTTGAAAGGTTGTGGAGAGAGTTTATAGATGAGAAGCAAAAAAGAGCTGTCAGGTGCTCAAAATAAACCTTAGACTCAAGTGTAAGAACAGGCTTTTCCCCAAAACACGCCATATAATAAATACTCAGAACGAAAATGGCGGCCGTTACAACTTGTATCTAAAAATATATGGTTTAATGTGTTGGTCAAAACACAAAGACTTCCAGTCTGCCGTCTTAAAGTGCTTTAAGCTTTCATGATCATATTCAGATCATGCTACTGTTCGTTCGTTTGCTTGTTTATTCACATTGTGTGATGATCACTGGCACTCGCATCTAAAAATTACTCTGTACGGTTATCAACATCACCCAATGAACACATGACTATGAGTGAATGTTTCTGTGGCAGCATCTGCAAGAATGCAAGAGCCCTTGAAACCATAAGCTAAATTCTCAATAGGTGACCCCTTTTAATCCTTCTTGATCTATATTATCATCACATTCGTCACTATTTTCTTGTGTCCCTTTGTTGAACACGAAGGTCTGGATGATCAGCAGGTCAGTGACCAGGAAAGGAGCTCCAATCTGGACCAGCAGAACACAGAGCCTTCAGAGATTAAAGAGGTACAGGAGGAAATCATCATTGGGGAAGGAGAGCAGCTTGAACTGAAGCAGAAAGCTGAAAGCATTTATGTCTGGACCGGAGAACGGCTGGATTTGTGCAATCCTGGAGTAAAGCGGACCAGAATAGGTATGTAAAAGTGTCATATACAGATTTCATAATATAGAAATGAATAGGACTCATCAAAATGTCACAAATGGTAAATGGCCTGTATTTATATAGCGCTTTACTAGTCCCTAAGGACCCCAAAGCGCTTTACATATCCAGTCATCCACCCATTCACACACACATTCGCACACTGGTGATGGCAAGCTACATTGTAACCACAGCCACCCTGGGGCGCACTGACAGAGGCGACACAAAGACACATGGTGTGCATTACCGCCTGGGATACTGCCTCACTGAAGACATGTTTTCTGTTAGCACAGTAAAATAAAACCTGTATTTCAAATCTTCTGTTTAATAAAAAACAAAAAATTCCACCAGATTTAAGTCATGTTAGTCCAGAACTGTACACAGTATGTAGAAAAATGTTGAGACGATGAAAACTGGATTATTGGCCACAAGGACCAAGTTGGAGTGGCAAGCTGTATGCCTCATAAATGATGACTTTCTGCATGTAGACAGAAATCTCCGCTGTTCACTGCATGAGAGAGAATATTTGAATATTGCTCGCATATAGAATAGAATTCAAGTTTGTCATTGCACATGTCACAGGTACAAGGCAACAAAATGCAGTTTGCATCCATCCAGAAGTGCTTTAGCCATGATATAGATATATTACAAATAGATATTAGAAATAACATAGATATGTGAGTATATTACAGAAATGGGTCTATTATGGTATGTTATAATGTACACGGTATGAAGTATGTTATGAATATGCTATATCTATAAGTATGTACAGGCTGTAGTGAGTACAAGCTATGAACAGGATATAAATATAAAAAAACTATACAGAAATATGAGATATACAGAAATGTGAACTATGCAGGTTATAAACAGTTGTAGATTTAAAAAATTATCATACACTAACATAATTATCCCCATTAGGACTGAACAATCAGTTTAAAATATTGATTTGAAACTAAGCTTTTAACAAACCATCACATTGTGCTGTAATGTCATCACAGCACAAGACCTGTGCAGTGATGTTATCGGTGGATTTCCTGATTGTGTGGCCAATCCATCATCACTTTCTTTCAGAACTGGTATTGCTATTGGTTCCTGGTTTGTTCTTGACTACTTTTTTTTTTTTTTTTTTTTTTTTTTTTTAATATTAAATCTTCCCTGGCCACTGGATACAGAGGATTTGCTGCAAAAAGATGTTGATGAATGTCTATAACATACAGAGCGCTGTCTTTGTCCTGCTCCATGTTTATATAAAACATGGAGCAGGACTTACAAACAGATTTTAAGAGAATGCTAACTGCCCTAACAGTACTGACCTTATGAAAGCATACGAGAGAAGAAAATTAAGAAAATATACAAACAGGGTTCCATTGCACTAAGAATCATGAAACTCTCATTCCTTATGTGAGGTGATATGGCATTATTAAAGAAAAGTCTCCCATATCCTATTTAATTTATAAATATAAAAACAACTCCCATGATTTGTGCATAAATGATTCTTCAGTTTGTCTAACATGGCCTCCTTCACTCAGTTCAATTCTATTTTATTCATATAGGGAAATACAGTGGGATGCAAAAGTTTGGGCAACCTTGTTAATAGTCATTATATTCCTGTATAAATCATTGGTTGTTACAATAAAAAAATGTCAGTTAAATATATCATATGGGAGACACACAGTGATATTTAAGAAGTGAAATTAAGTTTATTGGATTTACAGAAAGTGTGCAATAGTTGTTTAAACAAAAGTCAGGCAGGTGCATAAATTTGGGCACCACAAAAAAGGACATGAAATCAACATTTTGTGGATCTGCCTTTTGCAGAAATTACAGCCTCTAAATGCTTCCTGTAGGTTCCAATGAGAGTCTGGATTGTGGTTGAAGGTAATTTGGACCATTCCCCTTTACAAAACATCTCTAGTTCATTCAGGTTTGATGGCTTCCGAGCATGGACAGCTCTCTTTAACTCACACCCCAGATTTTCAGTAATTTTCAGGTCTTGGGACAGAGATGGCCATTCCAGAACGTTGTACCTGTGCAACGGGTGAAGTGTCTCGCCTAAGGACACAACGGCCGAGACTGTCCAAGCCGGGGCTCTAACCGACAACATTCCGATTACAAGGCGAACTCCCAACTCTTGAGCCACGAAATCAAATCCTTCAGAAGCTGCATTTGTAGGCCGACTGCATTACAGCGATTCGACGAAGGCTGTCCAAATTCAAAGACCCCCTCCAAATGCGGCCGACAAACGTGTCCTTCATTTCCAGATTTGAAGGATGGGTCGGGTGTATCCTTCGCTGCCCAACCTATCCCAGGATTCATAGCGTGGCCCAGCCAATTCCAGTTCCCAACAATGGCAGCAGCTCCTTAGTTTTAATATTACCTTTATTACTCCTGAAGCTCAATAAGGATAAAACTGAAATCCTCCTTATTGGCACCAAATCCAACCTTTTGAAGGCAAACCACTTCTGACTCACTATCGATAACTCCAGTTTTCCCTTCTCCTCAGGTTAAGACCCTTGGTGTCATCCTAGACTGTTCACTTTCCTATAAATCTCACATCAATAATCTCACCTGTTCTGCCTATTTCCATCTACGCAACACTAACAGATTTCGTCCTTCTCTTGTCACCCAGTCTACATCCATTCTTGCCCAGTCTTGTTACCTCCCGACTACTACAACTCTCTCTTGCATGGTCTCCCCCAAAAACCCCTCCGTAAGATTCAACTGGTTCAGAACTCTGCTGCTCACATTATCACCAGAACTGCCTCCTACCAGCACATCACCCCTGTTCTTCAGGAACTTCACTGGCTCCCTGTGAAATTCTGGATAATTTTCAAACTTCTTGTGCTCATCTTCAAGGCCATTCATAACCTCGCACCTCCTTATCTTTCTGACCTGTTAACCACTACCTTTTCTGTCCACTCACTTCGATCTTCTTCTATCCAGCTTTCTGTGCCTTCCTTCCGCCTCACCAGGATGGGAAGCAGAGCTTTTAGCTGAACTCTATACCCCCAGATATAAGAAAGATTGGTTCTCTCACCCAGTTTAAATCTCAATGAGCCTAATCGGGGCCACCTGATCCAGCCATAAATGTATGCTTTATCAAAAAGGAAAATTTTTAAGCCTAATCTTTTTTTTTTAAAAAGAGTGTCTGTTTTCCGAATCCAAACTGGCAGCTTTTTCCACAGAAGAGGGACCTGAAAGCTGAAGGCTCTACCTCCCATTCTCCCCAACTTTAAGGCAATGAATGGTTAATCTAAACAATAAATAAATCCTGAAGTGAGTGTCCTGTAAAGTTTCTGAATAATTTTAAGCAAATTTTTAAATGTTTTGTGCACTTTGATAACAAAATTTAAGAGATACCACTTTGTGCTTTTGTTTGATTATATATCGTCTTTCTCATCGTAGCTGATCTAAGCCATATGCTTACCATGTAGAGACCTTCTAATGGTTGTAATTTCTCAAATGTATGTTTTTTGATTTAGATTTAAGATTTCCACAACATGACTGTAAGGACGAGGATGGGCTCACAAATCAGCAGGTCTGTAACCAGTAGAAGAACTCCAGTCTACACCAGGAGGATCCTTCACAGATTAAAGAGGAACAAGAGGAACTCTGTACCAGTGAAGTGGAAAAACGGTTGTTCTAAAGCAGGAGACTGAAACTTTTCCTGCTCATGAAGAAAATGATCACAGTGAACCAGAACCAAGCAGTGACCAGCTCCAGTCTCACAAATCTCCTGACACAGATCAGGATGAAGTCAAGGGTGGTAACTCGCACAGAAATGAGTGGGAGCAAATCGTATCAGGCCCAAGTGTTCAAAATTCCGACACCGCACATTTATGTAGCACCTGTGGGAAAAGGGTTTTTTTTGTTTTTTTTTTTTTGGAAGTCAAGCTTGACTAGACACATGCAAATTCACACCGGTGAGAAACCACATTGCTGTAGCACCTGTGGAAAAAGATTTAGCCGGAAGTCACACATGAATAGACACATGCGAATTCACACAGGTGAGAAGCCACATTGTTGTAGCACCTGTGGAAAAAGATTTAGCCGGAAGTCACACATGAATAGACACATGCAAATTCACACAGGTGAGAAGCCACATTCTTGTAGCACCTCTAGAAAAGATTCAGGTAGAGGGAAACTTGAAATAACACATGCCAGTTCACAAAAGTGAAAAACCACACTGTTGCAGCACCTGTGTGAAACATTTTAGTTCTCCAGTACAGTTGAAAATGCAATTAGGAAAAGATGCTACATGCTAAGTTTCATTCTTAGAAAATGGTGGTGGTAGAACACATAAACAGTGTTTGGGTCATTGAAAACTGAAAATTTAAAAAGGTTTTCGGAAGCTCAGTTTCTGTTTTGACACATGGACAAGACAAAAAGTTTGTCTTGCACCATAAAATGTGTGCACCTATATCACCTTTTTCTGACATCATTGTTTTATAGTTTATAGGCTTTGTCTTTGCTGAAGTTTCTTCATTTTCTTTGGCATGGCCTCGACAGTGCTTGAGATATTTTTAGGGTCTTGATGTAAAAATAACTTTCTCCAAAACGCACTTGGAAATATCAGTTTTAAAAAAAACTACCCATGTAGTAGTTGGATTGACATTATGGCAAGTGCTTTTCAGATGGAAAGGGAATATTTTAGGGAATGACAATGTTGACAAGTTGATCTATGTTCTCAAATTGTCTGTGATCCATATTTTAAGCTCATTTATTATTTATATTTATAACATAACTTATGGACTAATGTGTCATTTTAACAGTGTTGTTCCATTTTGACATTAAACAAATCCAGTTTTAAGATTGTAGATAATTCAGTTTAAAGATAAAATATTGATGATTATATAATAAAGGAGGAGGAGCTGGTGACTCATCTCCCATAAAGGAGCTCAGAAGTTCCCCGGGAGTCTTCATCTTTATTTATCTTTGTTTGCTTTTGGCCTCCATGTGCTTATGTCAAACATACTAGAGAGCTTTTTTTATTTAATTTTATCTTGTATGTTCAATAAAAACTGTTGGCATCAAACTTTACATCTCCTGTAAATTTTGTGTTTTGGTTTAAATTGTGTTCCAAAACCCTGAATCAACATCTTTCCAGCCTTTAGAAATTCTGAAAAGCCTTTAAAACATGCGACTGCACAATCCTGCTGCTCTTTGAAAAACTAACAGTACTTCCAAATGAGCTGTTAAACAGGGCTTTGTGTGATCTGCCTTTTGGTGAAGCATTCTCGTCCTCACTTTCCAGGGCCCTATTTCAGGAAGCCGGTTTAGAAAACTCAGTGAAAAACGATACTCAGGGTTGAGTAACCCCGAACTGTCCAACTCGGAATATTCGGTTTCAGAAAGGCTGATAACAATTAGTTCAATCAACGCGGAGTTGCTTTAACCCCAAGTTAAGCGCGCACACGAGGATACATAAAGCCCTGATTAGTGGAGCACAGATTAAGCGAGTCACCATGGAGACGGAGGGAAAAAAGGCGCAGTCAATGTATTTTACAGCGCTTGAGGCCGAAATTCTGATGGCAGCATATGCCGATAACATGCAAATTTTGCGGACAAAAGTAACACACCTCAGCTGCGAAAGAAAGGGAGCATGCATGGCAAAACAAAGCCGACAGAGTCAATGCGTGAGTGTTACTTTAAACATTGATCTAGGGATTTCCACCCATTTAACACGTTATTTTATTATATTTTATTTTATTTTTTATTTTATACATTTTATTTTGTGATGTGATGTGAGCGCAGGTGCAACCCAACAGGCCCCAAACGTTCCTGGCAGCAAGTAAAAATGAAATATAAAAATATAGTCCAAACAGGTAAGGTGTAATTGTATTATGAGCCATAGTGCTTGGTCTGTTTGTCCCATGTAAATCAATTGCAGTTAGAGGCTACATTAATTTTCTTTCTGTAAGCACTTGTGACCCCGTTATAGCCAACAGAAAAAAAGCGGAGGCCCGAAAAACAGGTGGGGGTCCACCACCACCACCACTCACAGAGGCTGAGCAGTTGGCTTCCACATTTGTGATAATGTTGGCAGCATCACATATGATCTTCACAGTGCAGAGAACACAAATTAGCATCCATTACTATAATGAAATAATTTGTTAGTTTGAAATGCTACAGGGAACCATGTACCTGTACATTAATGCTGTGGAACGACTTCCTGTTCATAGTCTCCTTCATTTACTGAAGGAGCAATGATTGGAATGTGAGTGCCATCTATACAGCCAATCACGCCTGGGAACCGTGAGAATAAATGTAAAATTTAAGTAGTAGTTCAAATATCACCACATCATGAATTAAGTTTCGTTCATCCTGATACCTGCAATTTTGTGGAATCCCTCTTTGATAAATCTTGTGGGTCTATGACCGGGGAACACCACAGACGAGTACAGGAGACGTTTCAGTGCAACTGTAACATTCCTGACTGCCCGACAGACGGTAGCCTTGGAAACGTGCTCAGTGTCACCAATATTATACAGAAAGCTCCCGTTTGCAAAAAACCGAAGTGCAATACAAATATGTACAGAACTGAGAGGATGTCCGCGATGTGTCACATGAGCAATATTAGGCCTGAGGATGTTATCCAAATAAATTATGGATTGTGCTGAAAAACTGTAACGTTCACACAGAAAATCATCAGGAAATGATAAAATGCGCGCAATCACTCTCTCCCGGCGGAGAGCTCTGCAGAGAATTTGGGCTTCAACATCTACTGGCTCTTCAAGGAAGGGGCAGGCCATGTCTGACACTTCCTACTGTCAGGTTTCCGACAAAGAGGCGGAGAGAGTCGGGGTTAGTAGAAGTAAACCTGCTAGGGGGCAGGTTAGCTTCACGGAGTGTGTCATCATAGTAACTCACTCAGGATTAATCTAAACTCACTTTGTGAAACTGAAAACCCAGAGTTTTCGTTAACTCACGGTATGCTTACTCAGAGTTTGCACTTAACCGGCTTCCTGAAATAGGGCCCAGGTCCTCAACCGTACTCCATCAGAGGCTTCTGAAGTTGTTTCAGAACAAAAGTGGAGCACATAATAGCAAACACTGAACACACAACTCCCCTGTCTGCTAAGAGCATGTCTTCCTTTTTTATACCACCATCAGTGACATGAAAAAAGATTCAAACAAATCTGCGATGGTATTTTCAGATCAAGTTGGCCAATTAGTCATCACAGTGGACTTAATGCAGTCCACAATTCCTTAGGAGGTACCCAACATGAATTTAAACCAGCATGCAATTTAATTAAATAACACACCCCTCCCTCTCGGAGCTTCAGTAACACCAATTTGCATCAAAATCTTGATTAAATCAAAATTCAAGAATCGTCTTAACTGTCTGAGTTAGGTTCAGTCTTCACAGTCACTGGAAGCTCTAATCTTACCGACGTACAGGTTCCAGACCACAACTGAGGCAGCAAATAGTGATGGGTCGGTCGCGAACAAAATGGCTCCTAGAGCCGGATCTTTGAAGTGAACGATGCGAGCCGGTACAGAGAAAGGTACAGTAAAGAAAATGAGTGACACCAAGAAAAGAAGCAAATTCTGGAGCCATTTCAATCTTTTTGTCAAAACAAAGGCAGAGTGTAGAGTCTACAAGAAAAGGATATCATATAGAGCCGGCTCCACAAACAACATGCACAGGCACCTAAGAACTGTCCACCCATCAGTGCAATGGGAAGATAAAACGCAGTCAGTTGAGTGTGATATTAATATTTCTAAATGCCAACCTTTCCCTTAATTAAAGATCTGGGTGTTCTTTTTTTCACCCTTTTTTCCATATTTTAGTTTATATTTAACTGTGTTGTGGTTTGCAGTGTTTTGTGTTGTTTCACTTTAAATTTGTTTAAAAGGAAAAACCTGAAAATTTAAGTAGTTAAAAGTTGAAATGTATGAAATGTAAATAGTTGGTTTTTGTATTTTATAATTTATTTATTTCATTTTTTGTGGAGTGAATAAATAAAAGAATATTTACAGTGGCCCCTAGAGACAAAGCACGTACAAACTCCAAAACACAACAGAAGTGCTCCAGGATGCTAAGGGCCGTGTTGAGCTTTTGTTACCTAGTGGCTACACAAGCCAGCAAGTACCAACAATCGGATTGGGTGTGTGGTAGTAACAGGTAAATGAAGTTTGTTTGTTTGTTTTTTCAATTATTTGAAAATATATATATATATATATATAGTTTTTTAAAAACAAAAACAATAGACATATGCATTCGATTAGTGTAATTTAAGTGATCTAGGTAGCTCTGTATCAGAAGTTCAGTTAACGCTAGAAATGTGCTTTGGAATTTCTAAGTGCTTTGGAGTTTGTACGCGTTTCGTCTCTAGGGTTCCCCATAAGTATTTATATATAAACATACATAAAGAAAACCACGTTTTTTACATTACTATTTCCTTTTGTGCATAATTTTATATTGTTGTTGATAATTAATTAAAGCAACAAATCAACCTGAAGAGCCGGTTCGGAGCCGAAAGAGCCGGCTCTTTTTAGTGAGCCGAGTCGAAAGAGCCGGAAATCCCATCACTAGCAGCAAATCCAAAAGTGCTTTTCTCCACAGAACCAAACTAGGCCGGTCCTGAAAAGAAGTAACTAACAGGTGTTATACTAATTCATGTTTATCATTTTATTACACCATGCAGGCTGCACTTCATTTACCTCAGTGGCAATATAGTGAATTAGACATGTGTAATTAATCTCGTTTGACGTATAGATAGGTGGTCTTGTTATGTATTTAACCCATGTAGAAATTCTCTGCCCACTCACAATTTGAAAATTGTGAAAATTTGTTTATGCTTTATTTTTATTTATTCCTTCTATTGTCTAATATAAGTTTGACCCGTGTCCACCAGGGGTGGTGAGTGACCTGGATGGACCCAGATAGCACTTTAGCTCAGTCCTACCACTAGTTGATACTAACTTACTTATATTTTTTCTCAAGTGAATTTAGTAATTCACGTAGCAAAAGTCCCTGTCCTTGAGATCGTCACTGTCTCCTCTGGCAGAGCTTCGACACCATTCAGAGGGAGACTGGGAACATTGAGTCTAAATGGACCATGTTCAGCACCTTCATTGCTTTTTTTTTTTTTTTTTTTGCCTGTCCCGTTTGGCTCTTTTGCCATCAGAATTATTGTCTAAAGGCAAAGCAAGATGCCCACGGATTTACTTTACCAAATTGACCATCCCAGCCTTGCCATAATGGTCCATTTGATTCACCTTTTATTGTTTATTTTATTTTCACTTGCTGAATACGGGACAGAGGGAAGAGAAACAGCTGAGAAGAGGGACGGGGGAGAAGGGCAAAAAACAAAAACCAACAGAATGGGCAGGAAAAAAAAAAAGAAAAAAAGAAAAAGAAAAATGCATATATCAATCACCTGGATCACCTGTTGAGAAAGAAAAAAGAAAACAAGCAGAAGAGAACAAGAGTAATAGAATAAACAACATCACAATGATCTATGGGAATATGACAGTAAATACTAAATATTAAACATTATTGTGCAGCACATAAGATCAACAGAACACAGTGTGCTTTGAGGTAGGAGCCAAAAAGGGTGTAGTTTGTGGGTGTGATCACCCGTGTGTACACCTGTGAGCATGGACGCGCTTGTTTTTAAAAGGTTCCTTCATGTAATGATCTGCTAGAGGGTGTGGGGGGGCCACAGCCCCGTCCTCCAGGGCATGAAGCAGGTATGGAGGAGATCAAAACTCCAGACATCCAGAGGCCCGCAGAACACAAGAGACCAAGGAAGACCAACAGAGGGGCAGCCGCGCCACTGTCCCAGTAAGAGCTGAGGAGAGTCCCAGATGAGGGCTCACTCAGCAGCCGCAGAGCAGAAGCCAGGGGGAGTTGCAGTGACGCGCCCGTGAGCTCCGCCGGCAGCCAGCCGTGCCTGAGTGACCGAGCCCCAGGCCGAGAGGCCGGTGGCACCCCACCTCCGAAGTGGCCCGAGCGAGCCCCAGGCTCCAGGCCCCGATAAGCGGCCGCCAAGGAGTGAGCCGGTGTGTACCTGGACGCCCACCCCCGGACACAAAGAACCACCAACGCACCGATGTCTGAGGGAGTCCGCCACTGGCAGGGGAAGTGGGGGTGGGGGGAGATAGGCCTCCAAACCTTGGAGGGCCTGAGATGTCCCCAGAGAGGTGGCGCCTGACACCCAACCTGACATATAGACACAAACATCCATTCCCACCCTCATGCTCTCATATGCACTTACTCCACACTCAACCAACGTGGAGACAGACATAAAGAGACGCTGTACAAACGATCACACTCCCCAAGCATACTCTACGAACCGGGTCTAGGTACCCTTGCCCCTGGAGGGGGGAACTGCACCCAGACCCAGGTGGTGTTACCCTTTTCCCTGCGGTGGGGAGAGGCAGACCGCACCTTCATTGCTGAGGCTGCACCACTGAGCTGGGGTCCGTGTCGTGGTGGTAAACCCCTGTTGTGACTGTGGTTTTACATCTCCTATAAATACTACAAGATTTTTATTCTATTGTATATAGTATTTTATTTTATTCTAGTCTATTGTGTACAGTAGCTTATTCTTATTCTTAACATCTTATCCTATTCCAGTGTTTTCTAATTTTTGCTATGTAACTTTCTGCTGTAACAAAAGAAATTTCCCACATGTGGGACTCGTAAAGGTTATCTTATCTGATGTTATCTCTTATCTTATCACCCAGGACTGACCTGATGTATTAAATGCACTGAAAAAGTAAAAAAAACCCCAAAAAAAACCATGACCCTCACAGTGCTCACCAGCTGGCCCAGATGGGCGTAGGCACGATTGAGCAGTTATATCATGGCGTCCTCAGCCTCGAGGTGGGGCTGGTAACAAACTGAAGGAGATCCTGATGTGGCCTAACTATAGGGCGGAGCTGGTTGAGGATGAGTCTTTCCAGGCTCTAAATGTATGTAGTTTATTTATATTAATGTATTTGTATATTGTTATTTCACTTCCACTTCATGGACCGTACCAGAGAAATCGGGAGACCCTCGTTTATTAAAAAGATTTTATATAATTATTTTTAGAGTGACTATAATCAATGAAGGGATTATTCTTTGTTCTGTAAAATGATTAATGCTGGATCAAACTAAAGGGTTTTCCAATAAATCAAACTTAAATCAAAGTATTTTCTTCTTTCTTTATTCCAGGATATCACTAATAATCTCATGGCAAAATTGCAGTTTTCTGCAAAGTACCAGACTTTATGTTGGACTGGACTGACCTGATGAGGGCAGTATTACGCCCTTGATACCTATAAAAGAGCAATAAAAGAAGAATAGCGGCAATGTCGCCATTGAGAGATCCCGAGTTAAGTTTGAAGACGTTGGTTTGGCGGTATCGGTTGTTGTTGCAATAATGTCTTCAGTTCAGCATCTGAGAGAGTTCATCAAGGAGAGATTAAATGCTGCTACAGAAGAAATCTTCTCAGAGTTTGAAAAAACGATCGTCCGGTATGAGGAGGAGATCCGTCAGCTAAGACTGCTTAATATCAGACCCGGGATAAAGTCACACAATACAGGTGTGTAAATTTGTGGAGGCGTGGGGGGTTGCGGGATTGTGTGATTTACTTGGGCATGATCTAAATGCTTTGCATAAATGCATTGATCTAAACTAGTAATACACCCCAGTAAAGTGTATGCAGCTATATCTGTGCAGTGTTGAGAAGGTTACTCTTAAAATGTTTTCTACTACAGATTACAAATAAATGACCCAAATGTAGTTTGAGTAACTTAAAATACATTTCAATGTGAATAATGTATTCTGAATACTTTGGTTTGGATTACTTGATATATTTTCCATTCTTTTTACAACTACATGAATGCACTATTGTCATGTGAATTATTGCTGTTACTGAAGGCTACTAGCCACCTGTTACGCTCCTGTTTAGCCCCTAATCTCCTGAGTATGTTCAGCTGGTGCTAATTGGCCCCACCTAGTCTGGTGTTGATAAAAGCATACCTGAGGCAGGCTTTCAGGAAGCTCACTAGTCTTTGCCTTGGTAGCCATTTTAGCCAACCTGCTATGCCAATTTGAGATAAAACCTCTATCTCACTAACACTCTGGTATTCATCTCCTTTTTACTGTTGCGGCTTTTGAGCCGGTTTTCTGAGAGTCCATCCTACCTGACGAATCATCGTACCCATTGTTTCTGCGCATGCGCACAATACGAAATTAAGTTGCGAGCCGTCTTACCTTTGTGAAAATCAGCTAGAAAAATACTCTGACTTATAAAATTCAGTGCCAAACCATCCTGCCTTTGTGAATGTGACCTACAAGCATACTTTAACAGCTAAATTAAGTGGCAAATCGTCTTACCTTTGTTAATCTGAGCTAGAAACATACTCTGACTGGTAAAATCAAGTGCCACACCATGATACCTTTGTGACTGTGACCTACAACCATACTTTAATGTGTAAAATGTAGTGGCAAACCATCCTGGGCTTATGAATATGAGCTACAAGTATACTTGATGGGCAAAGTTGAGTGGCAAACCGTCATACCTACTTAAATTTGTGGTGAAATTACTCTGTGAAAGCAGAAATGTGCACAAACTACTTAAGGTAGGACGTTTTGCCAAAGTAGGATGGTTTGTCAGAACACCGTAATGTCGTATAGAAAAAATATTCCCACCAAGCACACTCACCAATATTTTGTTTTCGAACTCCATTGCAGTTATTTCACACATTAAACCTTTGATAGAAAATAATAAATCAAAAGTAAACTGCAATAAATTACAGGTAGCAGTAAAACTAATTCTTTTATGCTACGTCCACACCAACATGGGTATTTTTCTATGCATTTGGTCCTTTCGTCCGCACGTAAACAGCGTTTCGAATCACCAAAAAGGTTGGAGAAAACTCAGTTTTTGCATTTACCTGTGGTCGACGAATACGGAGTTCATCGCACAATGTCAGAGATGTGTGCCTTTCACATCACGCTGTGCGACATGTTATTGTTTACATGAGATTAATTTCTGCAATGGCAGATTCAAAATGCTGTTAATCTTACTATCTGTAGTTTTTACACACTTGCATATACACAAGCAGCTATTGTCCCTCCATTTAGAAAGGTGGAGGTGTCATGGTGTAATTATTTTACGTGTAGTTTTTCTTTTCCCCTGTGTAATAATAGTCAACATTGCTATCAAAAAGTGGGTTCAAAAACCTAAACAACTGTGGGATACTGTTTGTGCATGATTTGGACAGCCTAGCGCATCCTCCCGATGCAGGGGAAACAAATTCTGTTGGGGGTACCCTACTGTAGGAGCCATATGAGTTGTTCCTTTTTTGACTAAGTGGGTTGGTTTAAATGGACTCACTGTATTGGTGCATGGGTGTGGGGCGTGTCTCATGGGCAGTGTTGGGAAGGTTACTTTTAAAATGTATTCCGATACAGAATACATGCCCCAAAATGTATTCTGTAACGTATTCCGTTACAGAATAAATCACATTGCTGTGTGATTTATTACTATTACTGAAGGTCCGCGACTCCGAACTGTAGTAAAGGGACCTCTGACTAATACGGCGGGGTCCCTGTCGGCTCGTAGCCGAAAAATAGCTTTACTTTGTTGTGTGGGTCAATTTTTCTTGCGAGAGACAGAGAGAGGCGTTGAAAGACTGCTCCAACGGAACTTATTGTTTTCGGAGGAAAACACGAACGCAGTGTACAGTCGAGTCTTAATAGCTTACTTACAACTGGGCTCGTCAGGCACTCTTCTTGGCTGCAGTGGTTATTATTATATTTACATGTTTCCAGCTCCCGTTTTTCCTCGACGACAACTCGTACCTTTCCACTCGCCTTTTTCTCCCTCCTCGCGCTCACAGACACATAACGTGTATGGCAGTGCATTCTCCCTGCAACACGTACTATACTGCCCATGATGCTGCATTCTTTAGAGCTATGCTTGTAGCATTCTGCCTGTTAGCTTAACACAACAACAACAACGAAAAGGCGCTCTCTCACCCAGGAAACACACAGTCACAGAAAGAGAGAGCGTCGCCCTGTAACCATGGCAACCGTAACGCTGCCGCCTGGAACGAAAGAACGTAGCTGTCAAACAAAACCCAAACAGTCCTGACCCGCGACAAAATGAAACAGGAAAGTACCGCAGTGTAATCCATTTATTTCAACAAAGTAACTGTATTCTGAATACCACCTTTTTAAACGGTAACTGTAACGGAATACAGTTACTCATATTTTGTATTCTAAATACGTAACGGCGGTACATGTATTCCGTTACTCCCCAACACTGCTCATGGGTGTGGTAGATGATAAATGTGGTTGCACTCACCTGTTCACAGCACCTGATGTTGATGAGCAGAAAGGTAGGGTGAGCATGAGGCAAAACTTTCTGTTGATCGCAGCTTGAGCGCAGCTTGAATGATCTTGATGTATTTTAACTGGAACTGAATGGTTTTTGTATATTTGTGCACTAATTGATGCCATGAACCAGGTTGTAATTTGACATAGTAGTTAGTGCAGTTATTGGAGAGTTGCAGTTATTTGTTTGTGCAGTCTGTGCATTTGTTTAATAGTTAATCCCATGTGCTGATTTATATATTGGACAGTTGCATGTGGAATAAAAGGAGCAAATGGTACAGAAGTGTATTTTATGCGTTTATTGTTGCGCGTCATCTGTGTCCTCATGTTTAGCCTTCCGCGGCCATAGGTTGGAGGAGCCGCAATACCTACCTTGGCACATGTGCAGGTGAAGCCAAAGGCACGCTATGCTTCATCATATTTTCTAGTCTTTGGCTTTGAAGGAAGTTGGTTTGGAAACATATTCGGCGATGCTTCAACCTCTGCTTTGTGTTTTGTGTGGGAGCCCAGTCAAAAAAACCTGTCCGTTATTCTAGCAGTGTCCAAGCATTCTTTTCCTTTTTTTTTTTTTTTTTTTTTTTTTTTCCCTTTTAACATTCCCCCTGCAATGGCTCTGCGCCCCCCACTTTGGGAACCCCTGTAGTAGGCTAACGTTGTGCAATGTGACGAAATATATCTGATGATGAAATTAAAACATCTATCGTTTTGAATTTCAATTCAATTTTATTTATATAGCGCCAAATCACAACATAAGTCGCCTCAAGGCGCTTCATAGATACAGAGAAAAAACCCAACAATCATATGACCCCCCTATGAGCAAGCACTTTGGCAACAGTGGGAAGGAAAAACTCCCTTTTAACAGGAAGAAACCTCCGGCAGAACCAGGCTCAGGGAGGGGCGGCCATCTGCTGCGACCGGTTGGGGTGAGAGAAGGAAGACAGGATAAAAGACATGCTGTGGAAGAGAGACAGAGGTTAATAACAGATATGATTCAATGCAGAGAGGTCTGTTAATACATAGTGAGTGAGAAAGGTGACTGGAAAGGAAAAACTCAATGCATCATGGGAATCCCCCGGCAGCCTACGTCTATTGCAGCATAACTAAGGGAGGATTCAGGGTCACCTGGTCCAGCCCTAACTATATGCTTTAGCAAAAAGGAAAGTTTTAAGCCTAATCTTAAAAGTAGAGATAGTGTCTGTCTCCCGAATCCAAACTGGAAGCTGGTTCCACAGAAGAGGGGCCTGAAAACTGAAGGCTCTCCCTCCCATTCTACTTTTAAATACTCTAGGAACAACAAGTAGGCCTGCAGAGCAAGAGCGAAGTGCTCTAATAGGGCGATATGGTACTACAAGGTCATTGAGATAAGATGGGGCCTGATTATTTAAGACCTTGTATGTGAGGAGCAGGATTTTGAATTCAATTCTGGATTTAACAGGAAGCCAATGAAGGGAAGCCAAAACAGGAGAAATATGCTCTCTCTTTCTAGTCGCTGTCAGTACTCTTGCTGCAGCATTTTGGATTAGCTGAAGGCTTTTCAGTGAGTTCTTTGGACATCCTGATAATAATGAATTACAGTCGTCCAGCCTGGAAGTAATAAATGCATGAACTAGTTTTTCAGCGTCACTCTGAGACAGGATATTTCTAATTTTAGAGATGTTGCGCAAATGGAAGAACGCAGTCTTACATATTTGTTTAATATGTGCATTGAAGGACATGTCCTGGTCAAAAATGACTCCAAGGTTCCTCAGAGCGTTACTGGAGGCCAAGGTAATGCCATCCAGAGTAAGAATCTGCTTAGATACCATATTTCTAGGCTTTTCAGGGCCGAGTACAATAACCTCAGTTTTATCTGAATTAAGAAGCAGAAAGTTAGCGGCCATCCAGGTCTTTATGTCTTTAAGACATTCCTGCAGTTTAACTAATTGGTGTGTTTTATCTGGCTTCATGGACAGATAGAGCTGGGTGTCATTGGCATAGCAGTGAAAATGTATGCTATGTCTTCTAATGATGCTGCCTAAGGGAAGCATGTATAATGTAAACAGAATTGGTCCTAGCACTGAACCCTGTGGAACTCCATAATTAACCTCAGTGTGTGAAGAGGACTCTCCATTTACATGCACAAACTGGAGTCTATTAGATAGATATGATACAAACCACTGCAGTGCAGTACCTGTAACACCTACAGCATGTTCTAATCGCTCTAATAGGATATTATGGTCGACAGTATCGAATGCTGCACTAAGGTCTAGCAGGACAAGCACAGAGAGGAGTCCACTGTCAGAGGCCATAAGAAGATCATTTGTAACCTTCACTAAAGCTGTTTCTGTGCTGTGATGAGCTCTGAAACCTGACTGAAACTCTTCAAATAAACCATTCCTCTGCAGATGATCTGTTAGCTGTTTGACAACTACTCTTTCGAGGATTTTTGATATGAAAGGAAGGTTGGAGATTGGCCTATAATTAGCTAAGACTGCTGGGTCTAGAGATGGCTTTTTGAGTAAAGGTTTAACTACAGCCAGCTTGAAGGCCTGTGGTACATAGCCGATCATTAGAGATAGGTTGATCATATTTAAGATCGAAGAATTAATTAATGGCAGGACTTCTTTGAGCAGTTTTGTAGGAATGGGGTCTAAAAGACACGTTGATGGTTTGGAGGAAGTAATTATTGAAGTTAACTCAGAAAGATCAATTGGAGAAAAAGAGTAACTTAACATCAATGGTACTAAGAGTAGCTGTAGATAATATTACATCTGTGGGATGATTACTGGTAATTTTTTCTCTAATGATAAAAATTTTATTTGTGAAGAAGTTCATGAAGTCATTACTAGTTAACGTTAAAGGGATGGTTGGCTCAAAAGAGCTCTGACTTTTTGTCAGCCTGGCTACAGTGCTGAAGAGAAACCTGGGGTTGTTCTTATTTTCTTCAATCAGTAATGAATAGTAAGATGTTCTGGCTTTGCGGAGGGCTTTCTTATAAAGCAGCAAACTATTTCTCCAGGCTAAATGATGATCCTCTAGATTTGTGACACGCCATTTCCTCTCCAGATTACGAGTCATCTGCTTTAGGCTACGTGTTTGAGAATTATACCACGGAGTCAGGTACTTCTGATTTGAGGCCTTAGTTTTCACAGGAGCTACAGTATCCAGAGTCGTACGTAGTGAGGAGGTGAAATTATTAACAAGATAATCGACTTCTGTTGGGGTAGCGTTCAGATAGCTGCTCTGCTCTATGTTGGTACAGGGCATTGAAGATGATAACAGTGGGTGGATTATATTCTTAAACTTAGTTACAGCGCTTTCAGAAAGACATATACTGTGATAAAGTCTACTCTCCACCGCTGTGTAATCAATTATTGTAAATGTTATCAGGAAATGATCAGACAGGAGAGGGTTTTCAGGAAACACTGTTAAATGTTCAGTTTCTATGCCATATGTTAAAACAAGATCTAGAGTGTGATTAAAGTGGTGGGTGGGTTCTTTTACATTTTGAGAGAAACCAATTGAGTCTAATAACAGATTAAACGCCATGTTGAGGCTGTCATTTTTAGCATCTACATGGATGTTAAAATCACCCACAATAATTATTTTATCTGAGCTGAGAACTAAATCAGATAAAAAGTCTGAGAAATCAGACAGAAACTCTGTGTAAGGCCCAGGTGGACGATAGATGATAACAAGTAAGACTGGTTTCTGAGTTTTACAGCTGGGGTGGACAATGTTAAGCATCAGGCTTGACACACTATTGTTTGTTTTGTGGTGTCGCAAAACACATTTACAGCAATATTTTTTTCATTGGTTTCTTCACTGGCTATCAATCAAGATGAGGCAGAACCTGGTAGCTCCAAACAGAAGGACCAGCCAAAACAAATTGAGGATGTTATTCCTAAACCAGGGGCTCCCCCTGTAGGATGGACATTGTTTGGTTATGATAAATCTTACACGGATTAGAAAACTCAAACGCAAATTATGCCGCAAAGCGGTCTCCACCACCGACTCAAACACGACATTTCTGTTCGACCACCAATCATTTGAAAGGTTGTGGAGAGAGTTTATAGATGAGAAGCAAAAAAGAGCTGTCAGGTGCTCAAAATAAACCTTAGACTCAAGTGTAAGAACAAGCGGCCGTTACAACTTATATCTAAAAATATATGGTTTAATGCGTTGGTCAAAACACAAAGACTTCCAGTCTGCCGTCTTAAAGTACTTTAAGCTTTCATGATCATATTCAGATCATGCTACTCTTCGTTCGTTTGTTTATTCACATTGTGTGATGATCACTGGCACTCTCATCTAAAAATTAGACTCTGTACGGTTATCAACATCACCCAATGAACACATGACTATGAGTGAATGTTTCTGTGGCAGCATCTGCAAGAATGCAAGAGCCCTTGAAACCATAAGCTAAATTCTCAATAGGTGACCCCTTTTAATCCTTCTTGATCTTTATTATTATCACATTCGTCACTATTTTCTTGTGTCCCTTTGTTGAACACGAAGGTCTGGATGATCAGCAGGTCAGTGACCAGGAAAGGAGCTCCAGTCTGGACCAGCAGAACACAGAGCCTTCAAAGATTAAAGAGGAACAGGAGGAAATCTCCATCAGTGGGGAAGGAGAGCAGCTTGAACTGAAGCAGGAGGATGAAGGGATTCATGTCTGGACCGGAGAACAGCTGGATTTGTTGTGGAAACCTGGACTAAAGCTGACCAGAATAGGTATGTAAAAAGTGTAATATACAGATTTCATAATATGGAAATGAATATGACTCATAACAAAATGTCACAAAGACACATGGCGTGCATTACCGCCTGGGATACTGCCTCACTGAAGACATGTTTTCTGTTAGCACAGTAAAATAAAAACTGGGTTTCAAATCTCCTGTTGTTTAATAAAAAAATAAAATTTCCACCAGATTTAAGTCATGTTATCCCAGAATTGTACGCAGTATGTAGAAAAATGTTGAGACAATGAAAACTGGATTATTGGCCACAAGGACCAAGTTGGAGTGGCAAGCTGTATGCCTCATAAATGATGACTTTCTGCATGTAGACAGAAATCTCCGCTGTTCACTGCATGAGAGAGAATATTTGAATATTGCTCACATATAGAATAGAATTCAAGTTTGTCATTGCACATGTCACAGGTACAAGGCAACAAAATGCAGTTTGCATCCATCCAGAAGTGCTTTAGCCATGATATAGATATATTACAAATAGATATTAGCAATAATATAGATATGTGAGTATATTACAGAAATGGGTCTATTATGGTATGTTATAATGTACACGGTATGAAGTATGTTATGAATATGCTATATCTATAAGTATGTACAGGCTGTAGTGAGTACAAGCTATGAACAGGATATAAATATAAAAAACTATACAGAAATATGAGATATACAGAAATGTGAACTATGCAGGTTATAAACAGTTGTAGATTTAAAAAATTATCATATTGTACAGAATGATTATTTACACAGAATTATACAGTAGTGCAGTTAAGATAAGTGAGGGTGTGGATAATTTCTACAGAGGCTATATAAAGTGCTAGTGGTTGTGAGTGGTGGTTCAGTCCATGTTATTATTGTGTGTATGAGGAGTTGTCCTGTGTGTGTGTGTAGGTGGGTGTGTGTCATGTCCAGTCCATGTGTTAACGTGGGTCAGATGTCAGGAGGCAGAGTTCAGGAGTCTGACAGCTGTGGGGAAGAAGCTGTTCCGGTACCTGGTGGTCTTAGTCCGGAGGCTCCTGTAGCGCCTCCCAGAGGGCAGGAGGGTGAAGAGTCCATGTGATGGGTGACTGGGGTCTTTGATGGATTTTCCCAGTCATTTTCAGACACCGCGTCCTGTAGATGTCCTTTATGGCAGGAAGTGGTGCTCCGGCGATGCGCTGGGCAGTTTTCACGACCCTCTGCAACGCCTTCTGGTCCGAGACAGAGCAGTTCCCGTACCAGACTGTTATACAGTTGGTCAGGATGCTCTCGATGGTGCAGCGATAGAAGTTCACCACGATGTCTGAGGACAGGTGGTTCTTCCTCAGTCCTCAAGAAGAAGAGGCGCTGGTGAGCCTTCTTGACCAGCTTGGAGCAGTTGGTCGTCCAGATGAGATCCTCGGAGACTCCCAGGAACTTGAAGCTGCTCACACGCTCCACAGCCGTCCCCTTAATGTGGATGGGTGGATGTGGGTCAGCATTCCTCCTGTAGTCCACGATGAGCCCCTTGGTCTTCTCAGTGTTAAGCAGCAGGTTGTTTGTGTCGCACCACTCAGCCAGACGATCTACCTCCTCCCTGTAGGCGGCCTCACCGTTGTCACTGATGAGGCCAATCACCGTGGTGTCATCTGCAAACTTGATGGTGTTAGATCCACCAGCAGGTCTGCAGTCGTGGGTGAAGAGGGAGTAGAGGGAAGGGCTCATCGCGCAGCCTTGTGGTACACCGGTGTTCATTGTGATTGTAGATGAGCAGTGGTTATCCACCTGGACATGTTGGCAGCGGTTGGTCAGGAAGTCCAGTAACCATTTGCACATAAGGGAACTGATGCCCAGGTCTGAGAGACCTGCTCACAGTGTAACTTTTTTTTTTTTCTTGTGTGTGTCCATCAAGACCTCCCACAGCAACGTGATTGTAAGGAAAATGAGGAACTGGATGACCTGCAGGTATGTAGCCAGGAGAGGAACTCCAGTTTGGACCAGCAGGACACAGATCCTCCACAGATTAAAGAGGAACAGGAGGAAATCTCCATCAATCATGAAGAAGAGCAGCTTGCACTGAAGCAGGAAACCAAAAGCGGCATCATCTGGACCGTGCAGCAGCTGGGCATCATGTGGAACCCTGAAGTAAAGTTGCACAGAATAGGTATGCAAAACCTTAATAGATCTAATTCACGTTGGGTCCTAATGAGACCTCAGAGATATGTTATAGAGGCACATGACAAATCTAAGCACCAACTGACAAGGAAACTGAATTAATATTCTAAGAGCCAAAATGTCTAGCCCTCAAAGTGTCGCCCTTGTCAGGACTGTCCTAAGTTGGAAATGATTAAGTTGAGTACAAGAGAGAGGAAGACACCCTACAATGAGTTGAAACATTGTTAATTATTCCTGCATATACATTTTTGCCATTCGCATTGTCACTTTCCTTGTCCCTCACGAATTGCAGTCGTCACTCCTTCTGCCACATTTTTCAAGCGACCTATATTGAATATCAACATGTAGAGGGGGAAAAAAAAAAAACAAAACACAAAACCTTAAATTATGCTTTTGGTGTGCCACCTCTGTTTTCAGTAGCCCGCATATGTCCACCCATATGAACAAAATTCTAGAGACACCCCTATACATTATGACTAAGTACATCCACTGGACCTTTTGTGGATAACATAATTATCCCCATTAGGACTGAACAATCAGTTTAAAATATTGATTTGAAACTAAGCTTTTAACAAACCACACAACAATATGGTAGTTGTGCCTTGTGCCATGTGTTTCTGGATCTTTCTTTCTTCTTCTGTCCCTTTGGATTACAGCACAAGACCTGTGTAGTGATTTTATCGGTGGATTTCCTGATTGTGTGGCCAATCCATCATCACTTTCTTTCAGAACTGGTATTGCTATTGGTTCCTAGTTTGTTCTTGACTACTTTTTTTTTTTTTTTTTTTTTTTTTAATCTTCCCTGGCCACTGGATACAGTGTATTTGCTGCAAGCAGATGTTGATCAATGTCTATAACATCTGCTTGCTCCATGTTTATGAACTATAGAGATGTATAGGTTTGACCCTGATTTTAAAAATGCTCCGCTTGGTGGAATTTCTGACCTCTTGAGTTTCAAACATCTTTTTAACTTCTGTTTCTTTTTCTTTCTTTTTTATAATATATATACACCAACAAGTGGCCACCTGTAAATAAAACATACAAACAGATTTTAAGAGAATGCTAAGTGCCTTAACAGTACTGACCTTATAAAAGCATACAAGAGAAGAAAATATACAAACAGGGTTCCATTGCACTAAGAATCATGAAACTCTCATTCCTTATGTGAGGTGATATGGCATTATTAAAGAAAAGTCTCCCATATCCTATTTAATAAATAAATATAAAAACAACTCCTATGATTTGTGCATAAATGATTCTTCAGTTTGTCTAACATGGCCTCCTTCACTCAGTTCAATTCTATTTTATTCATATAGGGAAATACAGTGGGATGCAAAAGTTTGGGCAACCTTGTTAATAGTCATTATATTCCTGTATAAATCATTGGTTGTTACAATTAAAAAAATGTCAGTTAAATATATCATATGGGAGACACACAGTGATATTGAAGTGAAATGAAATTTATTGGATTTACAGAAAGTGTGCAATAGTTGTTTAAACAAAATCAGGCAGGTGCATAAATTTGGGCACCACAAAAAAGGACATGAAATCAACATTTTGTGGATCTGCCTTTTGCAGAAATTACAGCCTCTAAATGCTTCCTGTAGGTTCCAATGAGAGTCTGGATTGTGGTTGAAGGTAATTTGGACCATTCCCCTTTACAAAACATCTCTAGTTCATTCAGGTTTGGCTTCCGAGCATGGACAGCTCTCTTTAACTCACACTCCAGATTTTCAGTAATTTTCAGGTCTGTGGACTGAGATGGCCATTCCACAACGTTGTACTTGTTCCTCTGCATGAAAGCCTTAGTGGATTTTGAGTAGTGTTTCGGGTCGTTGTCTTGTTGAAAGATCCAGCCCCGGCGCAGCTTCAGCTTTGTCACTGATTCCTGGACATTGGTCTCAAAGACATTAGTCTTTGAGACCTTTTTTCAAAAAGGTCTCAAAGACTTTAGAGTCAGACCTGTTACAGATTGTCAACTTTTCCTTAATGTCAGGTGTGTTTCCAGAACCACTAAAAACTGCTGTAATCAAACCTATACTGAAAAGGGACAATCTTGACAAGACGCAAATGAAAAACTACAGGCCGATCTCTCATCTCCCATTTTTAAGTAAGATCATTGAAAAAGCAGTTTCTCAACAGCTCAGTTACTTCTTAAAACAGAATAATTGCTATGATGCCTTCCAGTCAGGTTTTAGACAGAACCACAGCACTGAAACCGCTCTGACAAAAGTGTTTAATGACATATGTCTGAACACAGACAGTGGAAAAATGTCAGTCTTAGTTTTACTGGATCTCAGTGCAGCATTTGATACAGTTGACCACAACATATTACTCAAATGACTGGAGAACTGGGCAGGTCTTTCAGGAACTGTACTAAACTGGTTCAAAACATACTTAGAAAACAGGAAATACTTTGTATCAATAGGTAACTTCACATCTGAGCAGACTAGTATCACATGTGGAGTTCCCCAAGGTTCCATCTTGGGACCCCCTCTGTTTAACATTTACATGCTCCCACTGGCACAGATTATAAAGAACAACAAAATAAACTACCACAGCTATGCAGATGACACACAAATATATATCTGGCCTATAAAGCTCTGAATGGTTTAGGACCAAAATACATCAGTGACCTCCTAACCCAGTATGAACCTTCCAGATCCCTCAGGTCATCTGGATCTGGTCTCTTATCAGTTCCCAGAGTCAGAACCAGACACGGAGAAGCTGCATTCAGCTTATATGCTCCTTATATCTGGAACAAACTCCCAGAAAGCCTCAGATCAGCTGAAACACTCAGTTTATTTAAATGCAGGTTGAAGGCTCACCTATTCTCAGCTGCATTTGAATAAAGCACCAAATCCACACTTTTAAGCTTAAATTTCAAAACGTACATTAACTACTGATCTTATCTATTTCTAATTTTATCTGTTTTGATTTTACATACTGTTTTGTTTGTTAAGTGGGTTAGAGCTCTGGGTAGCTCCCCAACTGGGTCTAGACTGGGTCTAGAGAGTATTTTAAATTCAGGGAATTTAAAATAGAAAGTAGCTCGTCCACAGAAGGACTGGTAGCTCCCCTTACGATAAGGGTTCAGATCGCGCGAACAGGTGTGAAATGTGTGTTTAGTTTTGTTTGTTTGCTTGTTTTAATCAATTTTAAATCATACTTTTTATTTGTTTTTGTTTCTAATGTCTCTGTAAAGCACTTTGAATCACCTTGTTGTTGAATTGTGCTATACAAATAAATTTGCCTTGCCTTGCCTACAGGATCTGCTGATACTGAGTGGAATCCATGTGTCCCTCAACTTTGACAAGATTCCCAGTCCGTGCATAACACCTCTTGTTATGCCCAAATAGCTCATTTTTAGTTTGATCAGCCCACAGCACCTTATTCCAGAATGAAGCTGGCTTGTCCAAATGTGCTTTAGCAAACCTCAATCGGCTCTGTTTGTGCTGTGGGCGGAGCAAAGGCTTCCTCTGCATCACTCTTGCATACAGCATCTCCTTGTGTAAAGTGCCTGAAATGGTTGAACGATGCACAGTGACTCCATCTGCTGCAAGATGATGTTGTAGGTCTTTGGTGCTGGTCTGTGTGTTGACTCGGAATGTTCTCACCAATCGTCGCTTCTGTCTATCCGAGATTTGTCTTGGTCTGTCACTTTGAGCCTTAACTTGAACTGAGCCTGTGGTCTTCCATTTTCTCAGTATGTTCCTAACTGTGGAAACGGACAGCTTAAATCTCTGAGACAACTTTCTGTATCCTTCCCCTAAACCATGATGGTGAACAGTCTTTGTCTTCAGGTCATTTGAGAGTAGACCCCCATGTTGCTACTCTTCAGAGAAAATTAAAAAAGGGGAGGGAACCTTACAATTGACCCCCTTAAATACTATTTCTCATTATTGGATTCACCTGTAAATGTAGGTCAGGGGTCACTGAGCTTACTAAGCCAATTTGAGCTCCAATAATTAGTTCTAAAGGTTTTGGAATCAATAAAATGACAACGGTGCCAAAATTTATGCACCTGCCTGATTTTGTTTAAACAATTATTGCACGAGGCAGGGCTGCCCACTCTCCCCTTCACTGTTTGCAATTTCTATTGAACCACTAGCAGCAGCAATTAGACAGAATTCAGTAATTAAGGGCATAAAATGCAAGAACGTGGAACTTAAAATCAGCCTTTATACAGATGTGTTACTTTCTCTCCAAAACTCACAAACCAATATCTCTGGCGTGATTGAATTGATAAAGTCTTGCAAGAATATCAGATTACTCAATTAACTGGCCAAAATCTACAGTCCTTCCGATTAATTGCTCCTTCCATTATTCTTCTTCTACACCACTGCAATCGGGGAAATATAAAATATTCAGGTATTAACGTTTTTCCCAAGCTTACAGATCTAACTAAATTAAACCATATCCCACTTTTAAACAAAGTAGAAGGTGATATGGCTAGGTGGAAATGTCTACCCATATCACTCATGGGAAGGGTTGCCGCTATTAAAAATGGTCTTACCAAAAATAAATTATTTATTCTCAATGATCCCAACTAAACCACCACAAGATTGGGTCAGGTCTCTAGATTCATGTATGTCCAAATTCCTTTGGAAAAATAAACTCCCAATTGTTAGCTTAAAAACACTACAAAAGACCAAGGATAAAGGAGGACTAGAACTGCCTAACTTTCAGCACTACTTCTTCAGTTTATCTCAGGATGGCTAAAACATACCTTCTTAGACGAACCTTGTCTAGATGTAGAACAAGCACTTTGCAATAATCTAGAGATTTCAGACCTAACATTTATCAGCTCAAATATCCAACGACATGAATGCTTTAAAAGCGTCTGCATCAGCTCTTCTCTGACAGCATGGTGGGAGTTTCTAAAATTGACGGCGTCTTCATTAATCCCATGCAAACGTACACCTATCTGGAACAACCCTGACATATTACAAAACAATAATATGATAAACTTCTCAGATTGGAGTGGTA